ACTCGAAAGGAAAACGCGGAAATGTTTCAACACCGACAGAAAAACATTCTGAAAGAATTAAGGTTATATATCTTACATGTAAAGAGAGGGAAAGAGAAATTAAGAAATTATATAGATATAAACATACATACATAGGAACCGCCTCCCCCATATACACATATAATCATATACAAATATATGTGCCTATCCACATATATATAAATATAAAGATGTAAAATGTATATACCTAAATACATACATACACATACACACACAAACTGATTACAGAAAACATAATTGTATAATACAATCAGAAAGTAATTTCAATATTTTACAAATTCGTGTATCAACAAAGTCTGAAAATATTTTAACAAAATGTGAATTTCAGAGAAACAATAATTTTGATAATCAGAAAAGAAATACAAGTGGACAATATCATCGTTGAATTATACGTCAAACGAGTTTTATTTATTGTGATTTTTGTTACATGTACCATTTGTTTCACAGAAGAAAATATTTATACAATAATAGATAATACCAGTATAAATAGTTTTATAAATCAAAATCAATTTATATCAACAAGAACACAGAAGTAATTAACAGAAGAATTGGTGTTAAACAATTATATATATGTAAAAAGGGGGAAATTGAAAATAAAAAATATCTGGTATACAGTGGATTTTTTTGAATTACGGCAATTAAATATTAAAAAAAAATTAATATTATTAAATATTTCCTCTTCTAAATTACAAGAAAAGATGACCTGACAATCTAATAGATTTCACTTTCAATAAAAGTCATCGGAGAATGAGATATGGAGAAAAAGATAGTATAATGGCGTTCCGAGTGTTGTAAGAGTGTCATTTTAAGCCAAGATTTAAAACCTTGTTTTTAGTGATAGAAAGTTTGATATTAGATGTTGTTCTCTAAATAAATCCACGACTACCTCCTTACAGGCGCAGAAGGAAGGAAAAACCCCGAAACGTTCACTAATGACAAGGCTGCACCAACTGGCAAAATAATATATATGCAAATATCCTTTCTAATTCCAGGGCCAAAAGTTAGCGACAAACGATATCATAAATAAACAAGATACAGATAAATCGACTAAAACACAAGCTTCACAACTTATGCACCCACGGTAGATGGAAAGAGGTAATCCGTATTTTATTTACAACATCTATTTGAAATATCAAACTTCTCTCACCGAAACGGAAGCTTCAAGTTTTGGTTTAAAATTTGCCACTGGATTAAGAAAAAATGACACCCTTAAAACATTAACTAAAAACCATAGATTCAAAATTGGAAAATATTTCATACAAGGTACCTTAGTAGCCACCTTTACAAATACCGATGAAAGTACATTACAGGAGATATTTACTGGCATTATCTTAAATGACAACACTTACATAAAAACCAACGAACAAAAAGTAAAAATACATGCACAAAATTCACCAAAACAGTCAAGAAAGTATAACAAATGAAAACAAATCTGGGATTAGACTAATAAAATACCACCCGAGTAGACCCACACACTATACATCTTATCCAAAACACAAATATAACATACCCATCAGACCCATAGTCTCCGGAATCAACAGTGCATATCACAAATTAGCTAATGCTATGGCAAAAAATCATAACTTTGTTTTAGGCATCATCAACTGAATACATATTAAACGACGTACCTTCACTAATTCGCTAAAAAAGAGCATACCATGATAAAAAAATACCCCAACATTTATTATTGATTGCATAAGCCTTGGTAGCAATAACTGCATCAAACTTGTTGCCCACTGACATCAACAAACTGCTGCATAGGGAACAAAACAAAAGGAAAACCGTACATAAAATTCTAAAAAAAAAAAAAACAATTCGAAATACAAAATTTAAAATATCAGCATTTCAACGTCTGCATTTTTTCTGAGTAAAGAACTGTAGCCGACTCTTTTCATTATTATATTTTTTCCTTCCTCTTCTACACATATAATTCCAACAATAAAAACATTACTTTCGTCCGATGAAGTACTTCTAGCGTTACACAATCTTTTTCTTATATATTCATATATTCACACACACACACACAAACACACACACACAGATATTTGAAATCAAATACACGATTGCAGTATGCTTCTCTAATAACAATTGAAGCACTTATTGGTTTCACTACCTCGAGATTGACATACCGTTTAAGCTGCCACTTTTATTGATATATTTAAAATTTATATATAAATTTACGGTGTCGCCATGGGTTCACCTATAATAATATCAAAGTTTTATATGTCAACCCTAGAAAAAAAAGAACAAGTTTTAAAAACAGTTCCGTCCTTAACTTCACATATGAACTGAACATCAATAATAGGTTTTATTTCGTAGACGTGTCAATTGACTTAAATAGTGAAAACAAAACAAAGAACTTAAACCCATACCTACTTAAAATTACAAATGTGAATTCCACATAGATACAAAATAGCCCTCATAAATAATTTAATAGTGTACATGTAATCTCTTCTTCGCGTACAGTATTTCTTAATGAAGTGAAAAATATAACAAATGTACTAATTAACAGTAATTTTCCTAACCATATAGTCGATAAACAAATTAAACTAACATTAGAAAAATAGAAACAAATTATAATAAATAACAAACGTAAAATTAGAATTAAACTATTCTACAGAAATTGAACTAACGAAAAAAATTAAAAGGAATCTAATACATAGATACATGTCAACTGATGTCAAAATAAACAAATTAAAGTTATCATTTATTACAAAAAAACTCCAATATGATTACCACCAACGCCTTAAAAAATCATGACTCCAACAAACTAAAATTTTCTATGAATTCAATTGCCCGATTGAAGAGTGCTTCTCTAATAACAATTCAAACACATGCATTGATTGCACTACTACAGCATTGTCACACCATTTAACATGTCACTTCTTTAGCAACATATACAGATACAGATATAAAAACACATATTTCCATATGTTTACATATCTACATACAGATACATTCATGCATACACAGTTACGCACACACACATGCACAGACATGAATACACATATATATAAACAGAAAATGTGTATTATCATTTTTTAATCATTTCAACATGAAGAAAGGCGATAATGCCAATAAGACGCCAGGTGGGAGTGAAAGAAAATGGCAGAAGTTGGCGGTGGACGCTGTATTTAATATGTTGAGGTTCATTGATGACAGGGAAGCAAGAAACCAAAAGAGAATTCCATAGGATAGAAGTGCAAGAAAAGACACTATTAAAATAGAATTGAGTATTACATCAAGCTATTTCTATGAGATCTATTTGCCAGTTTAGTAGCACACTTAAATTCATGCAGTCGAGGTACCAAGGAGGAGAGCTCATTAGAACAACTGCCATGAAAATATTTATAGAAAAGACAGAGGGAAGCCATGACAGTGGGAGAGTGACTAAACTCGAGATGCTGGATCAGGACCGATAACATTGCAGAAGCTCCTTTCAATTTTATCAAGAATATCGATATATATAGCAGAAGCACCAGACCAGATATAGCAGCATTATGCAATGCACAGGACGAATGGTAGATTTATAAATGTGCAAGATCGATTCTGACGAGAAAAAAAATTACCTGGCACGACACAGTGAACCAACTTTTTTAGTAGTAGATCTAGCAATTGATTCAACATAATCACTCCACTTGATGTCAGTGGAAAACGTGATCCCAAGAAAGCGCAATAAGTTGCTCTCCTGGAGGTTAGCATCAACCATGCTAATGGGTAGCAAAAATGATTTTCTATGATGATTAAAAGGAAGCAGTTTCTTGCCCAAGTTAACAACTGATTGGAGGCTGTTTTCGAGAGTAACTGCCAGTTTTACTTTGTCGAATCTATTTCACATAATATTAAGACAGGAGTAAATAGTTAGGTTATTAGCATAAATCCTTTGTTGGGAACTGTTGAAACTTGACTAATGCATGGTATAATAATGCAACACAAAATGTACTTAGAACAAAATGTATTGAAACAAGAAAGTGTAGACAATATTTACATATAGTCTTTTGTATATTCCTGGGAAGACCGTTCCTGGAGAATGTGTTGACTTAGTCGCAGTCGGGCAGAGTCTCTGGATTGAATCTCTTGATTCCTCCCCCGTCTTCCCGGTACCAACCATATTTATATGGTCAGTACTCCACTATGCAAATTAGGTGGATCCTACCACAACAGGAACTGATGACATTGGGAAGTTCGTTGATGAAGATAAGCAACAACGTAGGTCTAAGGATAGAGTCGTAGGGGATCCATGCATTAATGTGAAAGGATGGCTATTCAACACGACTTCATTATACGATTTGTTAAGAATGGTGATTTTCTAAGTGTATCTTAGATGTAGCACAAGGCTGAAAAAATGGAGCATCCGGTTAGGATCTAACTCACTCAATTTGTTAAGAACCATTTGATGAAGTCAAATATTCGGCCAGAGACACCATTGCCCCTGAGCTTGTGAAGAAGATTAGCATGCCAAACTCTATCACATACCTTTGCAATAGCTAAAATCACAGCCCGAGCCTCACTGCTCTTTAAAGCTTGATAGTAATAACTGTTAACCCATCAGCGGTTGAGGTAGAGCCTTTAGCACTTTAGCAAAATGAGGTAAAAGACTAAATGGGCCGATAATTCAAGGGATCAGAAGGTTAATCAGCGTTCTTAAAGACAGAAACTAGAAAAGAGAATATTTAACATGCTGGAAAGGTAGAAGCAGCAAGGCATTTGTTGTAGAGTTTGGCGATAAAAGGAGCCCGTTCATGATCACATTGTGGAAACCAAGTTTGCTGACTTTATACGTGATTCTCATTTTGAATATGATATAAATTTGTTTTATTGTTAAATAAAAAAACAAGAAAAACAGAAAAGTTGACCAAAGATAAATAAACAAATAAAAGATACAAAAATCAATTTCTTCTTCAAAGAAGTTCAGTTGATCGGTGATGTGTCAAAGTAAAATTTTTACTTTTTAATTCCAGCACCCATCGCCAGTCTTTTTGTATATAAATACGGTTGCCGAACGTCAGTCATTGTTGGTGGGACTTTCGAAACTCTTGGCTTTGTCATTTCCTACTTTACTAGGGAAAAATGGGTTTATTTTATCTCATACAGCCTCATGTCAGGTAAGACAGAAAAAAATGAATTTTCACGATTTTTCATTTTTGTTATTAAAAAATTATTTGTAACAGAAAATCCTACACGTTTTTCATAATGTTTATATTCTTTTCGATATTTTATCAACATTGGTTTCGAGAATATATACTCCGACATTCTGACTGCATTCTGAAATTCTGAGATTAGATGTTTTCATCATTTCATACATTTGAAATTTGCCGTATCAATCTGTGATCTTTTTAGTAGAATTTTTTAGTTGACATATACGTTGGATTTCGTAGTGTTTTCTAAAAGGCTAATATAAATCGAATTTATCGCTATTTTCTCGATGCCATATTTTCGATGCCATGTTCATCTCTGATATTTTCTTAAACGTCTTTTATAATCTGTTCTAAAATTCTGAGATGATGCGCTTTCATTCTTCCATATATTTTCACTTTAGTGCATTTATCCCTGATTACTTTAACACCATATTTCGGTCAATATATGCTTCAGCCTTCCTAGTGTTTTCTACAATTCTGAGATGAGATGTTTTTATTAATTTATATGTTTTCTAACTTTCATTTCTAATCTTTTTAAACACAATGTTTTGCCGATATATATGTTTGTCCTTCTGAAAATTCTAAATTATGCTTTTATTATCCTGTATATTTATTCCGAATATTAGCATTTCTTTTTATTTAAAACATAAAATCAATTCCGATCCATTCTTCATCGATCTTCTTTATTTTATTATATGTCCGGAGATATCGTAATTTTTCAGCTTGTGGAGAAGACCTGCTGTATGCCAAAGTCTGCCAAAGCCTGCCAAAAGCTTTCGAGATGTCCTATGCTACAACTCGGGCTTCAACGGTTTTATCTAGAGCATGATAGACTCTTTAGGTAATTATCCTCAGTTCATCAGCAGTTGACCTGGAGAAATGAAAGCCATATTGCTTGTCTGATAAAAAGGCCCTGCGATACGAGATGCATCACCAATTTGGCATTGATTAGCGCCTCTATAATTTTCCCAAAAAGTGGTAGAACGCTAATAGTTAGAAGGGTTGGACATTTCACCAAATTCTTAAAAAGTATGGAATAACAGGCGGGAAAGCAGAAGGCAATGAGTCATTTATTATACAGTTTAGAGAGAAGAGGATTCAGTTCGGGAGCACACTTCTTAAGGACTGTTATAGGAATACCATCGGATCCACATGTTAGGTTAGTGATGATAGCAGAAACCATAGAAGGGGTTATATGCATATCACTCAACAGAAACTCACTTCTAAGTGGGAAGTTAGTCAGGGATAATCCAGATGAGTCAAGAGTAGAGTTTAAGGAGAATTTGCGAGTGAAGCATGCTGGTGTGAACCATAGAGAGGACTGGGAATTCATCTGATATTTCATCTGAAATGAAAGCATCCATGTCGGCTTTCACCCCAGAAAAAAAACCAGTAGTGCAACTGGAAGGTTAAAGATGACATTCCAAGGGGCGCCCCGATGAAAATCACAGAGTGAGTCCCAAACAGCATGTTGGTAACGGAAAGAAGTCTTATGAATAGGAGTTTCGCGTTTAATAGATGATTTGATCAAAATATCAACAGATAACACAGAGTGATCCAAGTTACCAAGAGAACAGTGTTTTGAAGTTCGGCACGATCGAAGAGATGAGGTCATACCTTTAAAATGTTTCAGCCACGTGTTGTGGTGCGCATTAAAATCACCGAAGACAAAGATGTTCGTAGATGGATATAGAGAGAGTGCCTTGTCAGTACTGTCAAAGGGAAGCGATAAATGAAAAAGAGATAGCTAACAAAATTTAACAATGAAAGATGGCAGCACATGGACTAGTTTCTGGGGTCTCGAGATATAATTCTCTGGACATTGGAAATACCCCGATATTATGCGACTGTTGATCAGCGACTGTTGATCAGAGCAAACCAAAGATTTCGGGCTCCTAACGATCAGTCGGTAGCAATAGCCAGCCAACTGCCAACCCGGTATCCTCATTATGGAAAGTCACAGCCACTGATTAGTCTGGTCCCCAAAGTTTATGCCAGTTAAGTCATTATGACCCCTAGTAGAAGAAAGAAAGAAAGAAAGAAAGAACTGGTCAATCATATCCTGAACAGGGAACATGGGATGATCCTCTACTCCAATTCAATAGACGTGAAAGGATGATAGGTGAGCCTATCTACTCTTATTAATCTTCTCGTAGAACGGGGGGGGGCTGTGAGATTTTATCGAGACGCCAACTCTAGCATTTAAAATATACATAGTGCATAAATTAATCGGGGTCCTTAAATTATAATAATTTTTAAGATTTTTGATTAGTAAATATGTTTTTTAATAACATTATCCCCTAACGTTTACACCACTGAATCAGAATTTTAAAAGATTTAAAACTTTATAAATTATTCGAATTAATTTTTTTTTAAATTAAAACAATTCTTGTAAAGAATTATTATTGATCGAATAATTTTTCCTTAAGACAATATTGTTGTTAATATATCTTATTCATAAAAGGAATTAAAAGCTTTTCTAATTAAATAATGTCTTAGTTTTAATGCATTTTTTATTTTACGATTCAGAGCAGATTTTCGGTAAGTCAGAATCTGATTTTACAAAACAAAATTATAATTTGTATTTTGCAAGGATTCTGCTTTTAACTAATATGAACATTAAGCTTTACGCCACTGAATTTGTCGAATTATTATAAAATTAAATAAGTGGTATGTAACAAATATACAAAAATAGATATTTACCAAAATTTTCTAAAGAAAAATTATTAAATAATGTAATTACACTCATTTGTGAAAGTTTCATTGAAATCTGACAGCTTATTTAATTTTTACAAGAATTTCTAAATCAATGTACTTTTCAGCGCAAAAATTTCTATACTAATTTATTGTCCACACACTGACGCAAAAAGCAAAACTTTATACCAAATTTACGAACGTTCTAAAAAGGATTTAAAAATATAACCAAATAATCAAAAATTTCCTCTTGTTTTTCCTTTTAATAATAACATAAAAATTTTGACGACAAAACATTTTTTTATCAAGTTTGCGTCATTTTTTCATCATGATATGTTCTTGGTGGAGGTACTTAATATATATATATATATATATATATATATATGTATATATATATATATATATGAAGAAATATACTCTTAAGGTGTGGCATATTTATGGGATAAAGTGCCCAACATCAGAGATAGATATATTATATATAAATATAAAAGTGAACATTGAAGTCAACACTTAGATGCGACAGGCTGTTTCATGCTAGACGCAATCGTCAGGCCACCTCTAGCCTGACGATTGCGTCTAGCATGAAACAGCCTGTCGCCTCTAAGTGTTGACTTCACTGTTCACTTTTATATATAATTTTCTTTCTAGGTCTGGGTTCAGGATTAACCTTCATTACTGCAATGGTAATACTCAACTTCAATTTCGAACGCTACCTTTCCGTGGCATCCGGAATCTCTTGTTCCGGACAAGGCATTGGTCTTACCTTCATGCCAATTATCACTAATTTTCTTTTTGAGAAGTATGGCCTTCAAGGCACGTTTCTTCTTCTGGGTGGCATAACTCTACAAAAATGTATCTTTGGAGGATTGATGAGACCGTCCGCTCTTGAATTAGATCAAATTTCCAAATTTGGAAAGACCAAAACGATCAAGAATCCAAAATGCCTAAAGGATTTACCAAAATCAGCTGAATTTGAAGACCAAGTGTCTGTCGGTGCAGACACAGAGAATGCGCAAATTCAAGAAGTAAGTTCTATTTTCTTTTGTTAATTTTTTTTTGTTAATTCGTTGTAGGATTTGGAAGTCAGTAGAATATTTAGAAGGTCGTCTTGACTTTCCAGTTAGGATCGCAAAAAATCCCGTGGTTAAATTAATGATTCTTTGTTAGGAAAATATACATATCTTTGTTTCGTCAGACTTTTGCTGAATATTATTTAAGATGAAGACATGGCTTTGAGTGGCACAAACATTTCAAGGCTGGTCGTGTGTCCTTTCAAGTTTATGAGCGACTAAAATGACCAGCAATACGAAAGAATACTTTGACGATATTTGTAATCTCTTTCATGAAAAACCTGGAATTTCATTTCCTTGTTGCGAAGTTAACCACTTACCCTTGACGAATAGACATTGTGGTCGATGTTACACATTTCCGAAGGGTGTAATTCAAAGTGGATTTAAATATACAAAAATTTGAATGATATACAAAATATATTACTAGAGTCATGGATGAATTTCTTATATATATATTCTTATATATATATATATATATATATATATATATATATATATATATATATATATATATATATATACCGGGTGTAACAGCATAATTGTCAATTCCACAAAATTTTTAATATCTAAAAAACAATAAACTAATTGGGTTTCTTTTTTCCAGGTTTTACAAATAAGACATTTAGCCATGGTGACACCATTTGTTGTATGAATCACTGAAAAATCCTTTGAGCTAGAAAGAGAATAGTTTAAAAGCATATTGTGTCAGCACTGCTGTATTCTCAACTGAGCAATGGTGAGAGGAAAAAGAAAATTAAGGTCTTTAGTAATGGCACCAACATTCATACCTGGCTTCAATCTTCAATGTCCATTCAAGAACCATCAAGAGAACGGTAAGTATAAAAATATGGAACAGTAGAGAGGAAAACTCGATCAGGAAGTCCCAACAGGAAGAGGGATCTTCATTTCAACGTCGAGCTAAAGAGATCAATAAGACGTTTGACACGTGAGGGAGGAGTTTCCGTTATGACAGTCCAAAGAGCAGTGATAAAAGACTTGAAAATGAAATCGTACGTGAAACCCATGTGGCAACTTGTTACTCCCGGACAGAAAGTTAGAAGGTTAGAGAGACCGAAGTTCCTCTTGAATAAGTCGGAAAATTATCCTGGAAACATACGAGAAGTTTATTTCAATCTTTCATGAACATAAATCCTTAGCTATGATTAATCCAATCCTTAGCTATGATTAATTAATGATGAACATGTCAATTTCGTTTATGATCGCTTTCATCAACGATTCTCCTGTTAAGCTTGGAGAGTAATTATACATTCTCATTGCTCAAAGAAGAATCCAATAATGTTATAAAAACCTCGGAGAATTCCAGTAAGGTATCTTTAATGATTTCTAAGATACAACAACAGTTCAAAGCTTAATCTAACAATTGGACAATTCTTCTTTTACCCGATTTGGACAATTTTGCTATTACACCCGGTATATATATATATATATATATATATAAAATAATGGACTCTCCCGTCGGTTTCGACGTATGAGGATCTGACAGCTTACTTGATTCAGTTATGATATGTGTGTGCGTTCGTGCGTGCATGTGTGTGAGTTAAAGATTAAATGCAGAAGAAATAATAAATAAGCAACGTATATCAATCTAACGTGTTTCACTGATTAATAAATCTTCATCAGAGATTGAGAGAAAATATACAAAAAGACGGAAACTCTGGTATTTTCAATTTTGTTTGTGCCAGTTTTCATTGGTTAGTCACGTGTCACGTGCATTAAAACCATAGATAATTGTACATGTATGGAAGTTTGAAGATTCATGTATGGTTAAGTGGGAATCGTTTGGTAATGCGTATTCGTAATTGTGTATGTGTGTCTGTCTAGTGGGAGTTCTAATGGTTTTCACCCCACTAGGCAGACACACATACACAATTACAAATACATAAATGGAAATAGCAGAAAATTAAAGACAGTATGTGTGTGTGTGTTTCTTTAAATTTTTATTACATTCTTTTTCAACTGTGTGTGATATATTCATGAGGGAAGAGTACTCAACATCGGATGTAGAAAACAAGAGAATTAACACATGACCTGCCAGTCACCATCCAGTGTTGAGCTCTATGTCCCTCTCTCTCTCTATCTCTCTCTCGCGTATATATATGTGTGTGTGTCAGACACACACACACACAGATATATACGACTTTGTGCGTGTGCCTGTGTGTGTGTGTGTGTGTGTGTGTGTGTGTGTGTGTGTGTGTGTGTGTGTGTGTGTGTGTGTATTTTATTTGTTGTTGCATGCATAAACTAGAGTGTTAGAAAATTAGAGAAATTAGAAATGGAATAAGCTGTCTGATGTATGTACAACATAATAGTAAAAAAGTGGTAGTGCAACTGTACAGTGCAGTATTGACAATCATCGGAGACGGATAAAATTTAACACCTTTTGAACACGGAATAATTGTTATTAAATGAAAAGATGAGACATGTTGTCATCTTCGGGGTAGCAACAGTTACAACTTTCTCTTGGGAAAGAGTAGGAAGAGGAAGAGGAAGAATTTTGGACAGACCCCAACGGCACATGAAAATCTGCAGGTGGCCACAGATAATGCAAGAACGAAAAACAAATAACAGAAACAGTAACCACCACAGGATGAATAAATCCACAGTAGAGATTCATCTTTAGATTTTGGTCGGAGAAGTTCATCATTCTGAAAGTTGATTATTTTCTTAGCAATTCCTTTCTTACTTTATTTTCAACTTGAGAATTAAATAGATTCGGAAAAAAAATGAAACTCAGATTCTCAGGCTTTTAATCCACTGGAGGAACTTAATATTTCTTTTTAAGTCCTTCTGGTCATGAATATAAATGACTCCATATCTTTTTTCTTTTTAAAATTATAAAAATTATTGGGGTTTCTATTTTAGCTTCTTTCTTTTTATGTGCCATATCCTTTCAGGACGGAGGCAATCATGGCTCCCCACCTCCCTCTATCCCTTGCAGCTCTCAACAAGTTCCTTCTCTCTGCTTCCTCCTCAGACCACGTTCTGTCATCCACTTGCTTAAGCCCGCTCGGTATGTCATCAATATATATGACTCCATTTTTTGGTTGGCTAATATAAGGAAATATAAAGTGCCACAAATTCAGAGTTGATTTGCCAACATTTGAAATTTCATTTAAACCCTTTGATATTAGAATGCATTTTATATCTTAACTGATATGTTTTTTGTAATTTAAAATTAAGTTTAAATGCAAGGTAATATCTACAACTGGGGCAAACTGACACATCCAATTAAATTTCTTCTCTCTAGCTTAAATTTAAGGTTATTCAACTTAGAGAATTTCGCAGTTCCGGAATTGCTGTAAAATTAAAATGTCCCCTTTAATATGATTTCATAGTGTTATGGTAGTTGTTCAATAGGGCATTGTCCTGAAATACCACGGTAAGAAAAAGCAGTCTCTCAAGTATTTTGAACCCTATGTTCACCCATCCTGTGTGCATCCATCTTTCAAACGTGGAGGGCGTGTCTGTCCTGAGAGCTACAATAACTTTTAAATTCACCCAGTCAAAGACAAAAAAAAAATTCATACATTTCTGCATAAAATAAAATCAAACAGAGAAAATAAATGGATAAACGAATTTAGATAGCTTACAAAGTTCAGTTTGGTCTGGTATGAGGCCATGATATTGGAGTTGTAGGGGGGGGGATGTACCCCTATTATTTATTTTGTGAAGATTAAGACAAGAGAGGAGAAGAAATAAGATGAACACGTATTCAATTTGTGACATGAATCAAAGTAAATTGTATTCACAAATATTTACATTTAGGTTTGTAAGAATGAGTGAGTTGGGCGAAGGTTTATCTTGCAACTAACCGCTTTCTCGCGGGAAAAGGTTTTTATAGGATTTTGAACAACCCCACGATTTGGCGGCAAAAAAGGTTACACTCACCCCTGCCCTGATTGGCCGAATCAATCCAATCAGCGGACATTTAACATACCACATTCGTTTATTCAGTATACATTTGATTTAACGTATGTGAGCATATGTGAGGATGTGTGTGTGTATATGTGTGTGGACGTACAGTTCCACAGAATAATCATTTAGGATCGAAATCACATATCAAGAGAACGAGCTTACGAAATAATTTTGTAGCAAATATGCAAATATCTCATCAATTAAATACACCAAGTTGTTATTATTATCATTATTATTATTATTATTAGCAACGGAATATTTTTATATTGAATCGGAATTTAAAATTGCTCTTATATCTGTTTTCTAGGAGTTTCGTCAGAGTTGCATATCTGACATATTACCCAACGAACATGAAATCGAGGAAGAAGGGAAAAGCGGACAATCGTTCATTGTTTCTGCTGTTTTGGAAGACGAAGCTGAAGCTAAAGATTGGTCTGTTCACGTTATTTCCGGTGAAGAGAACATGGCGTATGATTTTAATGAGTCGGGTAATGTTACATCTGAAATACTAGATGATAAAAAAACAGTGGACAATGACAGACAGATAGATATCAAGGATTCAAACTTTACAGCAGCCGAAAACAAGATATCTGACTCTTCTAATATCATAGGAAATCCTTCATCAGAATATAACAGAACGAAAAACAAAATGGCTGCCCTGTTTACTTCCATAGACGTTATCTCCGACGAGAATGAAGCCACCGAAAACAAAATAGCCGCGCAAAATAACGCGCCAAGCAAAATGGTTACTTTTACAGATGATATCACCGTCGAGAATGAAATAATGAAAATCAAGTGGATGTAGAAAACGCGCCAGACAACATGGCTGACGGTTTTCATGAGACTAACAAAGCATTTTCGAGCCAGACAAGCAGTTCAAACAGCACCAATCACAACCTTTATTTGAAAGTTCTAAAAATCCGCAAATTCCGTTTCTTTCTCGTTAGCATCATCTTTTTCAGCATTCCTGAACAAATAATTTACATAATTTTGCCGAATTACTTTGTTGATAATGGTTCGAATCAGTTTGAAGTGTCTTATCTTCTGTCGATTCTTGGAATATCCTCCACAGTTTCCCTCTTTCTCATGGGTGTCCTTGCCAACTCCCAAATAGTAGACACCTATGTCCTATTCTCGGTGCCTTTTGGAATACTAGGTGTGGCAACTTTACTGATACCATTTTATGTTCAGACATTTGCGGGTCGAGTGTCATATGTCATTTTTTTCGGAGTGTACAATTGTTCGGTGTACAGTCTTCTTAACCAAATTATCTTGAGAATCACCGGAATTGATAATTCAACGGCAGCTTTTGGCTTTGTCATTTTCACAAAAGCAGTAGCCGGAATTTTTGGTCCGCCATTGGCAGGTAAATATTATTTTGTTATTAATTATTTTTCTTTTGTTGGGTGGGTAAGTTAAATTAAAAAAAAAATAGACACCTTTAATGGTCCAGAGATTATATGTTATTTCCCCAGGACTGGGTTTTTCCTGGTTCTTCAGATCACATTTCCGAGCATAACAGAAAATTGTTTTAAAATTTACTTATTATTATTTTTATACAAGTTTTAAGGGGTAGTTTTAAGTTGATTTAAGGAGATAAAAAAGAGAGGAGGAGGAGGACGACGACGACTGATATGATCGAAATTAAAGAGGGAAGGGAGAGATAGGAATATGTTTAAATCCATCTTTATTAAGATACGTAAGTGTAAGGGTGGTAGGGTAAGGTACCAGATATTTTGACCTATTTAACAAGTTCTTTAAAGGAAAAGGAAGGAAGACAAAGAAAAAAGTGAAGAAAAGAGATAACACATAATAGACAACAAATTGGGAAGCAATAGTGGTGTTGAAATATGGAGAAATAAGAAAAAGAAGTATGAATTATCATACATAGGCATATTGTGATTAATTTCAAAAATACATATTAATATAATTTACAGTTAACGCTTGACATTATTTTAAAGATTACCAACAAAATAAAAGAAAAGAAAAATATTAATATTATTAACCACAACTAATAGTTAAAAGTTACAACTTAAAGTTAAAATTTAAAATCTAAAATTTTAAAATTTGTGTGTATATGTATCTACATATGTGTACAGGTATATATGGTTAAGTGTGTTTTAACTGATCTAATATTATCTTTATCATCATTATTACCACCCCACCTTTATTCCTATTATTATTATTATTATTATTATTATTATATTTATTATTATTATTACCACCTACCTCTAAAATCATATTTTCTATATTTTCTGTTAATATGTTTTTGCTGACTCTTAATATTTTTATATAAATGTACCTTTTACAGATTTTTGTTAATTTAATAGTTATTTAAATTAATATATATATGTGTGTGTGTGTGTGTGTGTGTGTGTGTGCATGTATATGTGTGTGTGTGGTTGTATACAGACATATATATGTGTATGTTGTGTGTGTGCATGTGTATGTAGGTGTATATATGTAGTTATATGTATATGTACATATGTATGTATATGTATTCATATATATAATTGTGTGCGTATATGTATATAAGTATATATTTATGTATATATGTGCGTATGCGTGTATATGTGTATAAGTATATATTTATGTATATATGTGCGTATATGTGTATATATATGTATATATGTGTGGGTGTACGTATGTATGTACGTATGTATGTATATATGTGAGTCTTTCATTTACCTTGCATAATTTCCCATAAGAATAAGTTTACAAAACAACATTGCTTTTCTTCTTCTTCTTTTGAATATTTTTTCGATACTATTTGACATTTTTAAGTTGTTTTAAATTTTAGCTTTTAAATTTTAACTTTAAATTTCAAATGTGATCTGAAGAACCAGGAAAAAATCCCATTTCTAGAGAAATAAAATATAATCCATGGAGCCTTAAGGTTGTCTGTTTTTTTTAATTTAGCTAATATTCGCTCTGTTTTTACATTTAGCTCTCTGGATTACTTCCTCCTTGGGATTATTCATACAGATTACCAAACATTTTATTACCTAACTATATATATATATATATATATATATATATATATATATATATATATATATATATATATATCCCTGCTATAGCCTAGTAATTCGAAATATTTAACCATGAAAAAGTCTACTTCACAAAACATCGAGTTTTCACCGTCTCCTTCAAAGTAGATTCTTTAGACATGTATATAGTGATTCTATTATTTTTTCTAAGATTGCATGCGTAGCAACTCACATATATCAATTCCAATATAAATATATTCAATAAATATGTAAATATAAGTTTTTGATAGATGCTTGCTCTTTTCATAAAATAAAACCTCAACATCCGCATAATCGTCAACAACACTTTCATATATCTTCGGTTATCCCAATGACCAAAACTATTATGTTCGAAACGTTTATTCAACTGCAATATATTGAAAATGCGTAAAATAAAGACAAAAAACAGACATCGACATAACATATAAAACCTCATTTCATAATAGTATTTTGAATTTGTTTAAAAATAATTGTCTACAAAGCATTAATTAGTCATCAGATCTCGAGGGGGAAAAGTTGAAATTAATAAAATATTTTGTTTATTGACAAATGAAATGTTTCTGTCAAATTCATTTAATTTTTATAGTTTGCTACGTAATATATATCGTCAATGTTTTAATGGCAAATTGCAACCTTTCCCCGTCATCAAATACTTTTAATTTTCACTGGGAAGGTTTAGAAATTCAACAATATACTTTCAGGAGTTGTATGTGTGGTCATTCAGAATTGTAATGTAAGTTGCCACATTCACATTAACTCACTGCCATGTGAGAGAGCATCGTGATATTGAACCTAAGTCATACAAACGATATGAACCATACGACTAAGTCGATACATACAATTAACGTATTTTATTGATGAAATAAAAAACAATTGTACAAAGTAAATATATTTATATATTCAGGGTATTTCGTATGGCAGAAAATACAACATCAACTCGACGTTGCATAGAGGAACACAACTTGTACTTGAATATTATTTCATCAGGTTTAGCAAAGTAATATATATTTTGTTGTTCACTTGTCCATGGATTTTTTACCAACTTTCTTGTAATAATGAATTTGATGTAGCCCCAAACCATTAAATCTCCCATCGGGAAACAACTCTTCATGTAACCGCAAATATATATAATACACGCACGTGTGTGTGAATAATTGTCTTTCATTTATTATTCAGACGCTATTGCCGCATCTGCACAAGATTCAAATGCATGTTTCTTTTTGTCAGGTAAGTTATGTTTTATGTTGGGGCAACGCAATCAATATCCCATTGCTCGGCTTATTTTACTTATCCTGTTCTAAGCTAAAGAGAGATGAAGAAATAGATGACTAAGAAGCTATCTAGCTAGATAGATAGTCGAACTATAACAGGTATACAGTAGCGGTCATAATATAAAGAACGGAAACAACAAAGACATAAATATGTGTATTACTTAAAAAGTAATGCATGATTAGCAATGAAATTTTTAACGAATAAAGATTAGGGTGTAATGCATAAATATTATACAAAGTTACAAAAATTTACAGAATAGTTTTTTTTTAAATAAAGATTAAATGGAACAAAGGAAATAAGCTACTGGACAAAAGTTAAGGAACGATGTTAATAATTTGCATAAACTTTTAATTTACATTGTTAAAAAACTCGATGGAGCTTTTCAACAATAAGTAAAAGTTCATTTATCATTAGGACTTTATTTTTAAGTAATATAGCAAATTGTACACGCAAAACGCTCTTAAACTCATTATCGCTATCAAGAAAAATCCATTTCAGAAATTTCTGATATTGTTCATAGGTCTAAAAGTGTCGTTCATCGTGTAATTAGCAGGTATAAGACCGATAAAACGTTAGATGCAAAGCCAAAAACGACAGACCTCCAAAAACATCGCAAAGAGAAGATCGAAAAATTGTTAGAATATCTACAAAAAACCGTTTTGAAACTGCTACATCAATTCCCCGTAAATTTAATGAAGAGACAGATAATAAGATCTCAAGGAAAACGGTTGCTCGCAGGTTAAAAAATGCAGGATTGCATGCCTGTATTCCAGCTTCGAAGCCTCTCATTTCAAAGCGAAACCAAAGGGCACGCCTGGAGTATGTGAGAGAACATGTTGTTTGGACTGACGCACAATGGGATACAGTTCATTTCAGTGACGAGTCCAAGTTTACTATATTTGTTTCTAAGGGCAAAACTTACGTACGCCGTAGAACAGGGGAAAGAGTGTCTACTCAATGTGTCAAGAAAACCGTTAAGATTGGTGGCGGCAATGTGATGGTGTGGGGAATGATTCCAACTGCAGGAGTTGGCCCTATCATCCGCATACATGGCAATATCAATGCTGAGATTTACAAAAGGCTTCTTCAGCAGCATGTGCTATCAAGATTACACCATAATCTTTATGAATCTCCCATTTTCATGCAGGACAATGCACCTTTTGGTTTTTCTCAGAAGGTTATGGCTTTATTTGAAGAAGAAGGAATCGCTCTAATGAAGTGGCCAGCCCAGAGCCCCGACCTGAATCCAATAGAAAATGTTTGGAAGATAATTGGAAAAAGGGCTCAGAAAAGAAACCCGAAAAACCAGAATGGGAGGGAATTACTGCTGATTTTTGCCAGAAATTAATTAGATCGACGATGCAGAGAAGTCATTGAAAATAAGGGGATGTTTACCAAATATTAAATTTTGTTGATATTTTGTTCACAATCAAGTATTGACAAGATCGTTCCTTAACTTTTGTCCAGTAGCTTATTTCCTTTGTTCAATTTAATCTTTATTTAAAAAAAAAAAAAAACTGTAAATTTTTTGTAACTTTGTATAATATTTATGCATTACACCCTAATCTTTATTCGTTAAAAATTTCATTGCTAATCATGCATTACTTTTTAAGTAATACACATATTTATGTCTTTGTTGTTTCCGTTCCTTATATTATGGTCGCTACTGTATATACAGACAAATCTTTACAAAGAAAGAAAGAAAGAAAGAAAGAAAGAAATCTATTCATTAGGGTCCCTTCCAAAATGACAAATCTATTTAGTAATTTGATATTTTTGAGTGTGGTTTGGTTTTGTCATTCTGAAATAAGTCATCGTTTTAATGAATCAAATAATTATATCTTTACTCTTTGCTCATTTGTAACTATATTGCTTTTTTCATATGGTTACCATACATTATTGTAAGAACTCGTAATAGATGAAAACTACGATACTTCACTAATAGGTCACCAAGTGTTTATTGGAATGATACATCGGCTTTCATGTTGAAATGAGTTTTTATCAAGATGCTTTCAATAATAAATAAAAGAATTGAACATTTCTAATCATGTATATGCATGCTGTAGTTACAGAGATCAGAAAGAAGTATGCTATTAATATGCAGTTAATAATATTTATCATTATTTGTCAATAATATACATTTGTATACTTGTAAAATCACAATATCCAATAATACATTTACCTACTGTTATTTTTGTTTTTACAGGATGCATGTACATCATATGTATGCTTTCGATGATTTTATTAAATGATGGATCCGAAAGGTTTGTTAATAATGATATCAAATAACGTGCGCCCGCACGTACACACAAGCATAAACACACACATATATACATAGTTTTAGAAGTCTTAAAATTAGCAACGGTGTTTGTAGAGGATTTTTTCCAGGGCATGAAGAATATGGACATAAAAATGGACATGACGGAATTCGAACAAAAACTTTTTTTTTTAAATTCTAAACTCGTAGAATATCAATTGACATCTAGAAAATCACTTATTTCTAAAATTATTAAACTTCATTGGGTTCCTATTTTAACTTCTAAAATAAAAGGAATTTATAAACAAGATGATTTAAAAGTATTTTTTAGAATCAGATTCATTTCCAAATATTGTTTTATAATAGCAAGGACGAGTAACCTGGGACTTTATAAACTTGATTGCACACACTGAAAATCCTGTGTAGGTGAAACAAGTGATGGAAGACGGAATTTAACACAATGTATTGAACAAGAACAAGAAACAATAAAGCGTAAATTCTCACCTTCATGAGCATTCTAGATTTAATTGGCTATCAATAAAACACTTGGCGTGGAAAAAGATTTTTATTCGAGAAAATTAGTTGAATCTTTAGAAAAGGATGTAGTAATTTTATTATCTTATGGGGCATCTGATTCGAGAGACCCTTTCTCTACTAACTTGATCGACTCGCATTTTGGTTTTGTATGTAATCTGATAGACTCGACTAAGCTCGGAAAATTAGATAGTTTTGTGTGTTCTCATCGGTTAAAACATTTATTTTTGACATGTGATACGCTTACGCCTACATTAAGGCGATTTGATGTCATTTATGTGCGATTTAGTGTCTCCTCACAAAATAAAAAAATAAAAAAGATTAAAAAGGAAATTGTTAGAAACTGTATGATTGGATGATAAATACGAATACTAAAATGATTACGTAGCTCTATTTTTAGAAGTGATGAATTTGGAGGCACAATATCTATATTAGAAAATGCCTTTCATTTATCATAATTTTTTATCTAATTTTACTTTTAATTTATTTTAACATTCACAAAGTATTAGGTATAAACAAGAAAATGCGGAGCGAGCTAAAGTTTCAGATATTTTTAAATTGCAACGTAACTGTAAAATTACTTACAGGGCCCGACATCTATTGACAGCACCTGTATAATAATAATAATAATAATAATGGATCCTTAAGACTTTGGAAATGTACAAAGTCTCCCCCGTGGTAGTAAATTTCCTTAAACACAGAATGGGAATGTGCAAAACCACATTATACCTAAATCACACAAGAGGCACTGCCACCTCCAACTACCTGAATATCCGACGAGGAATCTTTCAAGATTTCCTGTTTCCCCTTCTATTTTGTCTTTCCTTAATCCCCCTTACACATGAACTAAACAATAACGACCATGAGTTGACAGGTCTTCTCAATACTGTAAAATGTTTCAGTGATGATATAGATATGGATTTCGGATTAGATAAAGGTGTAAAAGTAACATTCAAGAAAGGAAGAATCATAGAAACACACTCAATAGATCTAAATTTTGTTCCAAAGATTATAGGTACCTAGGAATTAGCGAAGGAAGAAGAAGGTAAGAAAGGAGTACTACAGGCGTGTGTGCCTGGTACGGAATACTGAGCTGAATTCAAAACAGAATATCAGCCATAAACAACTTGGCTGTCTCTGTAGTGCAATACAGTTTCAACATCCTTAATTGGACCATAACTGACATTAAGCGAATGGACGCCAAAACGAGAAAGCTTCTCGTTTGGCACTGCATGCATCATCCGAAGGCTGAGGTTGATTGTCTGTTTGTTCCCAGTTCCGAAGGTGACAGAGGACTAGTTCAACTAGAACAGTCTTACAAAATTATATTTGGCCTTCAAAGATACCTGGAAACTACAAAGGGCTGGATGATGATCTCTGTCAAAAAACATGAAAGAAGTAAGAAACTTTATTAAGTGATAAAGGAAGCCAACAAGTTCAAAATGGAGTTTCAAATGGGTGATGAAATGCAAGTAAAGCATGATACACTGACCGCAGCTGCAAAATAACTAAAAAAGAAAAAGCAAAGGTAAATGTAACCGACCAGATACAGAAACGATGGCAAGATAAACCGCTTCACGGTCAATACTCTGCACGTACCAAACAAGCTGATGTAGACAAACCCCGTATCCATCAGTGGCTACGTAGTGCAGGTTAAAAGCTGCAACCAAAGGTTTTATTCCTGCTGCACAGGACCAATGCTCGCTAATTAGAAATTACCAAGCACATCTTGGCCGAAAATGCAGATTCTGTGATAAATATATTGAAACAACTGACCATCTTGTATCAGGTTGCACGGTATTGGCACCCACTGAATATAAAACCCGGCATGACAGAGTGGAATAATACCTGCATTGGAAAATATGGAACTTTTATAGAAATGAAACTGCAAGAAATTGGTATGAAGATCACCCAGACCGGTTACGGGGATAGGACCTGTAACAATTTTATGGGACTTTACAATACACGGAGACAGAACAATCAAAGTTAATCGACTAGATATCGTGATTATAGACCGCAAAGATAAAATGAACCTTCTTATTAACCTAGCAGTCCATGCAGACTGCAATGTTTTTTTGAAGATCGAAATCTCAAAAATGTGACACATGAGGACATTAAAAGTTCCGGTTGTAGTTAGAACCATAGGATTGATTGGAAAATATTCCAGTAGACTCATTGAATGGATTCCTGGTAGTCCATGCCTTTAAGAAATAAAAAAAATTGTTCTCACAAGTACAACTGACACTTTACGCAGGGCTTTATCTATGGAAAATATGTGTGATTTTTATTTTTATTTTTTACTTTTTTTAATTTAATTTAATTTTTTTCAAATGTTCAAGGGAAATGTTATGATGACCTTAGGTCTCTGATCGAGACTCGGAAAGAAATGAATATACACCAGAAATCAAAGGAAATAAAATAATAATGATAATTGGACGGAACACCTTGTATTGACCCAGTGATATTTGAGTATGCCATTAAGAATCCTTTAAAATAATGCGCACGGTGGCTCAGTCTCTCGGTTGTTAATTTCAATTTCAATTTCAATGCTGCTGTACATCCTAATTGTTTTAACATGTCCTCTCATAGCTGTTTTTCTTCATCTGTACAGAGGAAACCATTCTCTGCTAATTTCTTCATGAATCAGCTTTAGAGGAGATTTTTTTTTTTGCAAGATGAGTGATTGAATTAAACGCAAGTTTTAAGAATCCTGTGTTTCCTGATAATGTTCACAAGAATTGGGTGCATGTTTTTGACTAGTTTTTCATAATGATTTTCTAGTCGGCCAAACAGGAGATGCTTGTATTTATTTCTGCCATTCAAGTGAAAATATATAACACTACGTCATAAGAAAAACTGTCACTTTTTGTTAAGTGGTCCAGGAGACATTTGACCTTTCCTGTCTGTTTTGTGACCATCAATCAGCTCTGCTTTTAGCCTCTTAACACCTTGGATTACAAGTGAAATTAATGAACATGTCAGGTTTTCCATGGTTTCTCACATATGCCCTCACATCGTGGGTGTACTCATGTATCAATGATAACCAGTGGATGTCGAGGAAAGAATAATTAACTTATGCTTTGTGCATCTATAACATTTAGTATTGTATCTCTTAGATGAACATAACCTTCAGATCTGATTTCTGGTTGATTGCATCAAATGTATGCTAACCTCTCTATTTCTAATCCTATCATACATATCAGTGAAGAACTGGTGCAAATATGCCTACATATGTTTATGCCATAAACTCCCGAACTTCTAAACATAATCTTCAATGTATAGGATTCCATAGTAGATACTTATTTCCTGAGCATTTTATTACCAGTTTTAGGATTTATATACATGATGTTCAATCAGTAACGATTCTCATCTTGCCATAATATCCCGTGTTTTCAGATAGTCTCTGCAAACCAACACCTTGATTGTTCCGAACAATATCCCGCTGTTCAACTTGTTAGCCTAGTAAAATAGTTGATGTTGAGGCACTGAATTTTCGCTTGTATTCTCCAGTTGATTTGTTGTCAAGTCTAATAATTATTTTAAAATTGTAAAACTCTCTAAAACTTCGCCGTTGCTCACATGTTCGGCCCATGGTATCTTTACCATCCTTCTGCAGAACTACATTTCTACAGTGTAAAAAAAATTCAAATTTTCGTCAGCTTTTCATTTTCTTTCAGAACAAAAAATGATTTGACTAAATTTTTATCATTATTCTGAATATCACAAATGCAAAAGTAAAAGGGTGATGATATTTAAAAGGAGGGGAAGTAGGATACGGGTGAGAGCAACGTGAAGAGTAATGATTTTTTATCTAGAATAAAGAGCGTGTTAATGAAAAATGATAATAAAATTATTATAAAAGCAAGAATTGTCTATATCTTTTTTAATGATAACAAGTTTGCAATATAGATATGAAATAAATATTTCATTAACAATAACAAATCGATTAAAAGATTTTATTTTTTCTGAGAAAATATAAAATTATATCTATTTTAAAAATGAAAATTTACATTTGTTAGATTTCAAGATATTTTTTTCAAAATATACGATTTAAAGATGTCAAACCGGATACTGGTTTTACTTGGAAACTAAACAGTTTAACTATAAAAGTCTGACAAATAAATGATGTCGTTCTTTAAAAGTTTGATTTTAAAAACTGAATATGCAAGTTATGTATCTCCATTAAGAACCGCTAATTTGGGCAAGACGTAAGACATAAGCTGACAGATAAAGGGACTTCTCTCGTAAAGTTCTTCTCTCAGGTTATCATATCTCAGTTGTGTCTCTGTCTTCGGACAGAATGCGACTCAGTTTGTGGCTCTGCCCACGAACAGAGACGCCGCTGAGGAAAATAAATACTGCGAGGTGCTTGGCCCTGGAGAAGAGCTGCCCAAGGCTGCATCCTTCCCCCATTGAGAGGAGGGATAGGAAGTCGCTACCGAGGCCAGGATGTACGCGCTCAGGTTCCCCACAGTAAACCCGACTTTGTGTCACATCA